ATATTTTTATCAAGTTGTCCAATACTTTGAGTATCTTAGATAATCATGTTCAGAAATTAACAATAACAATTTCAACAATAATTGGAATACTATTGAGTTATATGTTAATTAATAATATTGTTCAATAAACATACATACGGTATATTTATCAAAGTTTTGATTTTAATTCTTATTTACCATTTATTTTCAATTAAAAATTTATTACTTAAAATAAGTTTGAAAAAGTTGTACTATTTTTCAATACAACTTGTCGACAAGTTGAATTATCTTAATGTCGTGCTATACCCCAAACACAACTTTACAATTTATGTAAGATATGTCAATCACAACACTACCTTCAAACATATCGATTTAAAAATTGACTAGTATAATCAGCCAAACTGTAAAATCAAATATTTTCACAAAAAGCAACATATTTGCTCCTTGCTCTAATACACTCTTTTCATTTAGTCTACACCTAAGCCTTATTTGCCTTACCGATTACCTACTGGCCCTTGCCTTGAAGAGCCTCATATGACCACTTTAACTACCTTGTGATGTTCTCCGAACTGACGCACTACCATAAAACTTAGCATCCATTTAGGGGTAGACGCTTCCTCAATACCTTTTATTATACTTCGAAGTGTTGCATTCCGTTGCTTCAATAATTCCCCTCTTTAACCGTGACTTTCGCGATTATATACCTGGTTATTCTGTTAATTGTTAGCAATGGTTTCTGGTTTAAATAAACTAAGTGTTCTAAGATCTAAATCTATTCACTCTATTATTGAAATCAGATTCTCAATATCTTTATTATTTTTTCCTTAGAAATAGCTTTAGTGGTTTAATATCTCACACTGTGGACTGTGGAAACCATTCACATAAGAAAATTAACTCAGTTTTCTAAATTTAAGTCTACTTGCCTTAAACTGTCTTCAAATCACTGGAATCAAATTCGCAATACTATATCCTTCACGGTGCATGGCTGGAATCTTTATTAATTAGTGACTTAAAGTCTTACACTATGGTTTTTGGTACTGTCTAGCTGAATTTTATTAAAACAGATATTCTTCATAATTCTACAGTTATTGAGCACCAATTCAAATACTCTGCACAGTAAGAATACTGTTATCACTCATCATATGTCCCTATTATATGTTCCCAAAACTTATGTGGGATTGATTGAAAGCAAATTAAAAATGTTAATTGTGATTATGATGTTTTTCTTCTTAATATGGTATGAATAGAATATTATAAAATTGAACAAGTACGCTAAATGACCAATCAAAAACTCAACTTCACTCTCCACTGTCAGAATTATGTCCGATTCTCTTAACCTTAAAAGTGAAAACGGTGGAGAAAGAACAGAACTATTACAGTAGGGTGAAGAATTAATTGTTACATATTTTAAATACACTAATTGAAAAAAGTCTTAATTAAGAACTCTATATTTGGATGTAGAATGATCTGTAGTACAAATATTTGGAGAATTTTCTCATCGAGTCTTATTTTGGTCATAAATGCAGTACGTAATATTTGGAAAATTTTTTGCATTGGTTCGTGTTCTGGATACAGATTCAGTACGTGTTAAAGAATTCAGCGTGGAAAATGCAGCATCAATAATTATTGCCTTCGTCTCTTATTGCACTGCACCAACTTACAACAAATATTATTTGCTTAATTTATCGACTTTAATTGCTTGATTAATTCTAGATCTCTTCTGGGGATTTATGGTTTGGACTGTAAGTTATAACAATAACAGCAACTGTATAATAAATCATAAATTGTATTTTCTACTTATCTTGTTTGGTAGGTATCAGTGGTTTGTAACTTTGGTAAGCCTTAGATGTTTAGATTTTATGACTAAAACAATCCTACATTTTGATATAATATTTTTAATATATATTTTGTAACAACTTTTACATCAGAATCATAAAAAATGGCTAGAATTTGTTTTTTTTTTTTTTTTTTTTTTTTTTTTTTTTTTTTTTT